ATCTATATTTATATATATACATAGATGGATATATATCTATATATATATAGATAGAGAGACTCTAGAGTTATAAACATTTATAGCTAAAAGAACTAGCAATGCCATTTGTGAGACTGTCACAGGTCGGCTCAGTAGATCGGGAGGTGAGGGAACACATACCGGCGTTCGCTCACCTCTCGATCCTGTCACGGCTCTCTGCCGTGACAGGGGAGGGGCTGGATTCCCCCTTCCCCACTCCTCCAGCGCTGACTGGCGGAACGGACGGGGGAGGGGGCCGGTACAGCTGGCTCTGCCTCTAGATAGGCGGAGCCAGCTGTTACTCACGCAGCTGGGCGGATCCAGGCATAATTGTCGGGATCCGCTTCAGCTGCGGCGTCTCAGTATATAGGGAGCTGTAGCTCGCGGTATACTGAGCTAAGGGTGACGGGGGGACGCTAGTTTGTGTCCTCCCGTTACCCTAAGGAGAACTATGGGGAAAAGCCTTAACCCCATAGTTCTCCTTTAATTAAACCTTATTAGCTATGATTGTAGAATTCTTAGATGTAACTCACATGTCCTTGCCTGTAGCACTGAAGAGAAGAGCTCCAGCCCAGATTTACTTAACACACAGCAGAGAACGCACCCTGAAATATTAAATGTGGTAAGTATTACTAGAAGACAACCAGACAATTCAGAGAACTTTATTAGTGAAGCGGCGGCACATAGCAGTGAAAATGTCAATGGACCGGTGGAACCGCGATTTCACAGGGGGAAACCGGGCACTTGATCCACATCTTAGTCTGGCAAGCATGTAAATACACAGCAGGCATGAGCAGACTGCAGTGTTAGGACATCTTGCAGAGGGGGAGGAGGAGGATGGATTCGAACTCGGAGACACAAAGATGAGGGGCAGAGACTGTAACCGCTAAGCTGTGTGAAGGGGGAATGCGCCCCAGCTATTTAACAGTCTACAATTCTCATCATCTGCCTCGGCTACCTATGCAGCTCACAAATATCACTTCCTTAATGTCACAATTAGTGTTACAATATGACACATAAACTGACAATTCATATGTGGGGACCTTCTGAATTGTGTGCATCGTTGCCATCATTTTGTTCCTTTTACAATTAGTTAGTGACCTTTAAAGGGTCAGTTGTCCCAGAATTTAAATTTCAAGGCCCCCCCCCTTCCCTCCCGGATTCTTTTATCTTCCAGGGACTTCTCTGGCAACTCCTGCGTCGCCGGATCTATACAGCAGCCATTGTGAAGGGGTCATTCTGTCCCCGCTGGAATGATTAAACATGTATGATGGAGAATGCTGGAGCTAGAGCTGGGACACCCCAAAATAATAGAACAGGAACACCAGAAACTAATCCTTTAAAAGGTACAAGAATCCACGGCGACATTCTGCCCATCTGACTCAAGTGGGCGGAATGATTCTTTTACTTATCCATATTTTAAAGGGTTCGGAATTACCCCCAAATTAAACAAAACAATTAACATATTGGGCTGTATCATAGAACACAAATTCTAAGGTTGACCTCACACCAAGGCATTGCATTAACGTGTGGTAAAACACTGCGTATTAACATAATGCACGCCACTTTGTGCCATGCCATTCATTGCAAATGGCACCCCACTGCACCCATGTACAGGAGGTGGTGGGGGGTGCTGACTGAACTGTGCTGCCTTCCCAAAATTGTTTGTTGCAGATGTTTTTTTTCCTTGTGCTATGCCAGTCTATTAAAAATTAGGGCCTGATGCACAACACATGCATTGGGGCTGTTGTCCATTGTTTCCAGCGCAGCCCCAACACAAGACAAGGCTTTTATTTCAGTGCAGTGAGATGCGACACCATACAACCACCTCGTGCCCCGCTGTGCCCGTAGAACTGAATGAAATATCACTGGTAACATTTCAGTAAAGTCCTAACAACAAAAAAAGTACACAATGTGATACGTCGGGATCTTCGCTTCGGCATTGTTTCCGGGAATTGCAAATGAGCGGCTGGTGTGAATGGGCCCGAAGGATTTGCCTTAATGCGTCGCATGTTAATCTGCAATATATGTGAACACAATGCAACAGAATGGCCTAGTTCAGCATCTTGGGGACAAACACTAATGGCTGTCCTCAGGATGTACCCTAATACCAGCCCCATGCTCTGTGTTGTTAGCCATTTAGGACTAGACCGGAAATCGGCCTTGTGTAGAAAACAAAACGTCCCCCCCCCCCAGACTAGGCATTATTAGTCTAAGTCAGGAGGAGGCAACCTCAGCAGTCCAGCTGTCATGGAACTACAAATACCATGAGGCACTGCAAGACTGACAGCCACAGTCTTTAATACTACAATAAGCCAACATAGAGAGCTATCATCTAGCATGCAAGCAATAAATAATTCCAGCGCTGTAACCAATCGGAAATCTTCTAGTAACATTTTCCCCGAAGCTGACGTTCGATTGGCTGCTTTGGCTTATTGCAGTATTAAAGACGCCTTTGAGAATTTGCTTTTCAGCTTTTCTTGTTTATTGGGAGTCCTGCAGATTACTACATTCAGCATTGTAAAATATTTATTCCACTGGAACAGAACAAGTGGAAACAATGAAATCGTGTTTCATAAACACTATTTTGTAAAAGTTCAAAATACTGTGAGGAGTTTACACTGAGTGACCAGATTATTATGACCCCCCCCCACTCCCCCATCAGTACTTGGTTGGGCCGCCTGGTGACTCCACGAGATGGTGAAAGGTGATGCGAGGAATCTGACACGGCACTGTTGCCCTTCTGTTGTCTTGTACCAGTCTTGCCTCTCCCCCGTTCTGCCCTAACATTGACTAGTCGCTGACGGCCACAATTCCCACGTTCAGACCCAGATTTTCGGCTGACAGTCCGGTCTTTAAACACTTTAACAATGAGCCGCTCTGGAACATGTAACGAATTCTGCTGTTTTGCTGATACTCGCTCCATGGCTCCGAGCGCCAACAATCATCCCGCGTTCAAAGGCTGTTAAATCGCGTTGTTTCCCCGAATCTTCAGAAACAAATCACTTCTACTGTCGTGGTAACCAACCGGCTTCCCTATTTATAATGGTCTGGCCCTCTAGCAACTTCAGCGCCAAATTATAGCTCATCTGCCTACAAACGTCAGGTGGTCATAATAATCCGGCCACTCGGTGTATATAATAATCCGGCCACTCGGTGTATATAATAATCCGGCCACTCGGTGTATATAATAATCCGGCCACTCGGTGTATATAATAATCCGGCCACTCGGTGTATATCATAATCCGGCCACTCGGTGTATATCATAATCCGGCCACTCGGTGTATATCATAATCCGGCCACTCAGTGTATAAACACTGGATCTCCAATACATAAGGTGGAGGGATGGTACAGCAGTCATATAAAACCAGAGACATTTCCAGGAATGAATCTCCAGCACCAAATTTTCCCTGGAAATAAGAAAGCGATGGAAATGACGTCTGTCTTTTCTTACCATGATAAAGATGCCACGCAGTGTCTAGACACATACACAATCATACAAATCTCTTTAACATCATAGTATCATTTCTTGATTAGAAGTAACAATTTGGGTTTGTTTTCGTCTGCAGGTTTTATTAAAATACTCGCTGGTGACCCCCACCATGGAGGTTCTCGTTCAGGCACTTCCTGTTATAGGGTGATGACACTTTCTCCCTGTCTACCTATTGTCCTCATGCGTTGTCACCCTGCCACATGACTTCTGACGTCTCAAAACACATTACACAATCATGGTCCACGGTTGTCACCATTGGGAAACCTGTCCTGAGAAATGCCATGCAGCCATCGCTGGAGCCCAGACAGCAAGCAATTGAGCTGCAAGTTTGAAAATGACTCGCTAAACTGTTGCAGACTTGCCGAGCTTCACAATTTTGTTGCACAATTACAGCGAGTCTGCACTGCAAGTCTCCGGACCAGCGAGCTTGCAGGACTCTTGCTAAGACCTGCGGGGCTCTTGCTAAGACCTGCGGGGCTCTTGCTAAGACCTGCGGGGCTCTTGCTAAGACCTGCGGGGCTCTTGCTAAGACCTGCAGGACTCTTGCTGTAGACTTGCCAAGCAAATTTGCCACAAATTCAAAAAGTGTCGCCTAGAACTTGTGCTGCGAGTGTTCTGCAAGTCTACAACCTGCCAGGAATATGCGCAGCAAGTTAACAAGAATTACAATTTAACCCTGACACAAGTGTGTGGCAAGTTATCCTCGCTATCTGGGCGTGCATGTAGACAGGAAATGACTGCAGGAGATCAGCAGCACTGAGATGGAACAAAGGGTGAAAGCGGTGAAAACAGTTTTTTTTTATCAAATAAAATAATGTAATTGTTTAGAAAAGACAATTCATAAATTGTCTTATACAACTAAACTGATCTTCTATTAATATATACGTGTGCCCTTCCCCCCACAAGGTCAGCAGCCTCCCCGGGGGGTTCAGGATTTAGCAATTGGTAAATTCTTCTTCACCTACCCACCTCCTCCGCACTGACTGACCTTCAGTAAAGCGGCATCACTGGTGCGTTCACCTTCAGATAGAGGACTCCGTGTCCCCGATTTGAATGAGCAAGCGGGCAGAGGAGGTTATAGGGGCCCAATAGAACCTTCATATTCCCTTTAGGAGAACCTCAGCTCGCTGTGAGGATAAAAAAAAAAAAAAAAAAGACTCTCCCCACAACCACAGAGGTAGGACACCCCAACGTACATAAAGTATTTTTTTTAAAGCGCGCACACACACACACACACACAATATATATTGCATAATTTCTGCAAGTAAAGTACACCATTGAGGCTAATATTTGTTCTTACATAGGCTGCCTTCTTTTATATATTTTTGGGTCCAATACATTTTCAAGTGCATTCAATGTTAATTTAAGCACTCTTGAAAAAATGTGCAATAGAAAAGGGCTCATTTCCCATCAAAGAAAGAGAAAACAACAATTTAATTGAGCAAAAATGTTTAATGAACAAATATAATTCTGGTTTTAACACCACCCGCAGAAGAAGAAGAAAAAAAAGAAGTTCATCCCACCATGGAGCGCTTTCTGCCCCTCAGTCTGACCTCGTCCAGTTTGTTAATGACCGCACCGGATTTTTGGGAAGAGGCGGAGTAACTCTTTAGCAGAGCGCTGAAGACGTCCTCTGTGTTCGGGTGCGTGCTCAGAAAGGCCTTTTCTAGAACGTACAGGTCCACCCCCTTGTCCTCCGGGAGGGCCGAGATAAAACTCAGGCCAAAGTCAATGAGGACCAGGTGCAGGTCCTGGTGGGGGGGCCGCAGAAGCATGTTGGAGGTGGTCAGGTCCCCGTGGACGAGGTCCTCGTCGTGCATACGGGCCAGGACCTGACCAATCTTACCCGCCAGGTCATAGAGACTTCTGCCATTCTCCTCTGCAGTCATTATATAATCCCGCACCATCACCGAGCCTTCGATGTCCTCCATGTAGATGCAGTTTGAGACGTGGTCTACAAAATAGATCGCCGGAGCAGGGATACCTGAGAGCAATTAGGAAACAAAAGGTGTGTGAGATGTCATGGCCCCATTTCCAACTATGACAGACAGAGGGACAAATAAAATACAGGCGGGTACAGGAGGGAGCTATAAGGATGCAGGGAATAGGAGCATTCAGTGATACCAGAATGATACATAAGCCACAATGTATGTATATATTATATATAATATATA